ACACCCCCAGGTCCTTTTCAGCCAGGCAGCTCTCCAGCCACTCCTCCCCCAGCCTGTAGCGTTGCATGGGGTGACACATTAGGAAAAGTATCATGATAAAAGTTTGGATCAATGCTTCCAGCATTCATTTAACTTGAAACGAGTAAGCTAACAGAACAACAAATCACAAACTGAAAGGCGAGGGAAGGGGAAAATTAGAAAAAAAAAAAGGGAATAAGACTATAGATTTCAGGACAGTTACATGTTTGATGAATGGCGAACCACAAAAAGGGTAAAGAACAAAGGAAATCAAGCAATGGAGAACTCAAAGAAGAACTGCCAGTCATTGGAAACAAGCCTGAACGAGTAGTCATACTGCAAAGGTAAGGTGCCAAGTCAGACAGAAGGAAAAAGGTTGTGAGACAAACAAGCTGAAACTGCCACTAAATGACAGAAAAGGATACGCTTGCTATGAAAACGATTCTGTGAGACTAAATAATATGAAAGAATGTGATGCATGATGAGAAATCAGATAACAAGGGGGCATGGTGACTGCAGGCATGAGTACATGTTAATAATAAACCAAAACATTTTAAAATATTAAACACTTTGAATTATTAAAAGAAAAACAAAAGAGTTCATTCTTGTGATAAAGTAATAACTATTCCCACATTCTAGAAAGCCCACAGGTGAGACTTGAAAAATCAGAACAATTTAGGCTGGAAGGAAACACTAGAGGTTCCCTTGCTCAGCCCACTGCTCAAAACAGGGCCGACCTTGGTGGTAGTTTAGGTTTTTCACTGTCCTATACACTCAAGTTTTGAAGATTTCTAACGATGGAGACCCCACATTCTCTTTGGGCAACCAGCTCCAGTGTATGATCACCTTCATAACTGGAATAAGGGAATTTTTTATTAGGAAAGTTTCCCATGGCTGCAACGTGCTCACTGACTCTCACCCTTACGCTGGGGAAGAGTCTGGCTGCGTTTTCACCGCACCTTCCCATTTTGGGATCGAGGACAGCAATAGGCATCACCCCAGTATTCTTCTCTTCCAGAAACTGAACAGATGCAGCTCTTTGAACCTGGCCTCATCTGCCATAGGCTCCAGCTTGCCAGTCATCTTGGTAATGCTGCTGGCCCGACACCAGTATGTCAATATTTCTATTGTATGGGGAGCTCAAAACTGGCCTTGGTTCTAAAGACGTTGTCTCTCAAATACCAAATCGAGGGGAATAATTACTTTCCTCAACTTGCTGGCTACGGTCTTGATACCACGGACAAATCAAGCAAAATCAAATAATTTCTACCAATGAGATGACATTAGCGCACAGCCGAATTTCTCAAAGCACTCTATTTATGGAGCACTGACTGAAGAATTACGTTAATCACATCAATTATTTGTCTCTCGTTTGCATGCCTGCTTCCTCTCACGCTTACCAATGAAACTGAAATTCACTATTAATTGAAAGACAGAACTTTATCATGCAAACAGTAAAAAGAAGTATTCACGCTATTACAATTAATTTGCTCAGGGAATGGATGGAGTACACATCTATGCAAATAACTGTATTCTGAGTTCTTAAGTGTGTGTAAGCACTCATAAGAAATCTCCTCATTAAGAAATTAAGAAATTACCCAAACCCATTTTTTTAAATATATAATTACATCATTACTTACATAATACAAATTAGACTATAAATCAAAATGTTCTTAAATAAATTAATTCCTATATAGAGTCCTTTTTCATGCACAGCTTTACAATTACTTTTTCTATTCATTCCTAACGATTGGGAATACTCCTGTCAGGGTTAGATAAAACGCTGCTAAAGAAACCAGTGTGTTACCTTCCAAGACTGAATTTTATTATGCCATAAGCACAATCTTTGGGCATGTTCATTTCCTGTGGAAAAACACTTTATTATATATGGCATATTATCAGCAATTTAGGTCAAACTGTTTGACTAGCCACTGCAGTAGACCTATCAATAAAATAACAAACAAAAATCCTGAGCAAATGAATATACGCTGATTCACGTAGCCTAACAGAACAACGGGCTCTAAGAGATGGGATTTATTTTTTAAAGCAATATTAAAGGTAAAAATAGTTAACAGAAAGGACAACACTGGATTAGGACTGAGTGGAGATTAAGTTGGTGTGGTAGTTAGAGGACTTTTAACCTTTAAATGGATAACAATTTAAAAAAAAATCCTGTTAGTTGGCATAAAGAGAAAAAAAAAACAAAACAATTTACTTTATTTCAGGATACACTGCAAGCAGTCCACAAAATTAATATCATACAGTCGACTGAAGTAGTAGATGGCTTGGGCTTGATCCTTCTAACCTTACATGCTTCTCTGGCATTTTAGCCTTTTTTTCCTCCCTCCTGATCATTTTAGCTTATGGTGTTTTCAAATAATGTATAACCTTGGGAAAAGCAGATCCACGAGCTGAAGCTTCTATTAAAAAACAAAGCTTCTCAGAACTAACCATTTCAATTCCTCAGATTTTTAAAAATGTGGTCAAAATGGGAATTTGAAAAGCTAGGATGAATGTAGATTTTTAAATTACAGTAGTAAGTATACACTAATTATTAGGTTTCAGGATACAATTATCACTTGAAAACCAGTGTTTGTAAATTATGTAGCGTAACTTCTAGTCAATGCAGAAAGGTACAGAATTGATTTATGGGTCAGTAACAGTAAAGCATTTAAACACTCCGAGTGGCAGAGATTTTCATCTCAATACCTCATTACCAACAACTATGAGAAAACTGACAGTACTGCACTATTAAACTGACGTTATACTGGCTTAAACGATCTTTTCAACTATTTGATTTACAGAAAACCATATTTGAAAGTTCAACTGAGAAATCTTTCCAGAAAAAATAATAAAAAGGGGAGATTTAGGAAGATACATACCATGTTTTCTACTCGGAGCTCAAAAGGCATAGGGTTGTACACCATCAACTGAACTTCACATACATCTCCCTGGACCCACTGGAAATCTACATTAAATGATTATAGAATTAATGCAAGAATTACCTAATCATAGTGTTATAAAAAAGTTGCATCAGCTGAGCCGTCAGATTGCTATATTATCTTTATGTTCTAAATTAACATCTCTGTGTAATCTTCGCAGCCCAAGTCCTAGTCAAGAGCATTGTGGGACACAAGCTATAAATCACAGGCAAAGCAATGGGTTAAAGGACCGGAAGCGTTCATTAATAACGTAACAGTGCTCCAAAGAGTCGGTGTGCCAACATTACATCGGCAAAATTAACTCAGGCATCAATTCAAAACAGTACTTAAACACATCCTTACTGTTAAACACTTAAAGGCTTATATACTTGGAGTTCGGTACAGAGTACACATCGCCTTGGATAATTAAGAGTCAGATAAAAAGGAACCAGATAAGGAATGAACACAACAGGAAGGAGGAAATTAAAAATAATGGAAACAAATCTTCATATAGACACAGCTGATGATACAGAGTAAATAAAAGATCATTCTAAATTAAGAAGGAAACAACTGCTCACCAGCAAGATGCCACCTTACTTTTCTCCCACTAATTTTCTTCGGGAAAACTAGTTTGGGAGATGCTGTGGGAGGGGAAGATGACGCTAGGACCTACTTATATGGATTTTTCTGAGGTTCACAAAATGGAGACTTAAGCAATAGCACAAATTATTTAGTAACTTCCGAAAATACTTAGGAAAGACAATGACAAAAATAGGTCAGGTAATAAGCTGTACTTTCAGTTTATATCTCACAACAAGTGGCAGAGGTTCAACTTTAAAGACACTTCACCTTGCCAAGTTTTAATTTTGTTTTTGTTTTTTAATTTAAGGCAGCGAGAAGTTTATGGAAGTGAGGTCAGCAGTGGAGACAACATCTGAGGAAGTGTTCAATGCAGAAAGAGTTTATTTTACATCAACACTTCATAATCTTTTCAGTTCACAAGATCCTGTCTGCCTTCCAAATTTCTCAGTTAACCACATGCACCTGATACTCAGACCTAAAACTGAATGTGACAAGATTCTCCATACAAGCAGAGGACTGCAGTCCAAATAAACAAAAAGTAGTTTAACTGTATTTGTTAAATAAATCATGACTATAAGCTAATCTATAACATACACGGATTAACTTTTATTAGTTTACTCAATAATTTTAACATACACTACTAATAGTTTTTTACTAGGATATTAGAAAGTGTCCGGTAAAAACCAGGATTATTAATATTAAGACTGTAATTCACAGTTGAAACCATCTGTACTCTAATTGTACATTCACAATCATTACTATCTGATTACATTTTGCAAGCAATATTAGAGAGCTCAAGGGAGATGTACTTAATGCAAATGTTTAACTTCAATTAATGCTAGTGGAAATTAAAAACATACATTCAAAGATATTAACAGGTTACATTACTAGGAAACCTGAAAAGCAAAACTGTTGATTAAAATGAAATGTTCAAAAGCACAGCTGTATGAGATGTTCTGTAAACTTCTTTTTATTTAGTTGCTTATCAGTGTCCACAATATCTTCTGCATTCTGCAGCCCCCAAAAGAATCAGCTACTCCTCCAAAAAGGTGCTCTACAGAGCTCCAAAGGTATTTAACCACTGAAGCACCATTATCATTAAGTATATCAAGGCAGGCACTTATAGTAGCCAAAGCAGGTACTTCAGTCCTTGTAAATTATAGCAATTTCCACATTATAAGAACTACCACAAGACTGGAATGCCTTTTCTGAAAATGCTTTCAATGCAACCACATGAAAAGTAATTCTGAAAAAGTCAGTGACCAGAAAAACATGTTGGAAACTCTTGATTTCCTCTAATTATTACTCTAAACAAATGAAAGCCATTGATCTGTCTGATGCTTTAATCTGTCTTTCCTTCCAAAAAGAAAGGATTCTAGGCTCATTTCTTAATTTTTACAGATAAGATCCCTCCCTCAGTGTAGAATACTGCCTTAACTACCTCCTTACAACAGTACTGAAACTGCGGGAAGCCAATGCAGGCGGCAGTGTGAGCAAGCGGCCGGTGCTGTGCAAGCCCCCCCAGCAGCGTGAGGCCTCCAGGGAATGCGACGGGCTCGTTAGGCTCTGCTTTGAGGTTGGCAGAAGCACGGTGGTAGAGACCAGGCAAGGGCTGCGCTCCGCAGCGGCCAGGAACCAGCTACCTCAGCAGGCAAGCCCGGGGTGAGTGGAGGCAGGCACCCGGACGGAGCTTGCTGTCAGGGCAGCTGCAGAGACTGCACCCCTGCCTGCTGGGGTCACTCGGGCAGCGGGTGCAGGAGCTGCAGGAGGAGGTTCGCAGGCTAGGCTGTATTAGGGAGGATGAACAAGAAACAGAGGGTTATTTGAGACTTGGCAAGCAGTACGAGGGCCCTGTGGCACTGACCTACAGAGACTACGGGGCAAAGAGCTGCAACAGCAAACTGACAGCACCTTGGAGCAGGAGGCACCATGGTCTCTTATGACCCAGAGGAACAGGCTGTCACTTCACTCCCCTTCCTCTTATGTGCCAACCAGCCACAGATAAGAAGCCTTGGCAGCGGACAAAACCCATGAGCAAAATTCACGGGGAGAAGCTGCACGAGCAGCACAGAGTAAAAGCTGCAAAAGGACACGGCGAGGGCTGGTAGTGGGTGAGGGGCACCCGCTGGTCTGGTATACAGTCAAGGGAGGTTTGCTGCTTGCCAGGAGCCAGGATCTGGGATGGCACAGAGAGACAGCTGCCACAGCTGGTTAAAAGCGCAGACTGCCGTCCCCTCCTTCTTTTCCATGTGGGCACCAGTGACACAGGAAAGCAAAACCTGGGCAAGATCAAGCAGGAGTTCAGGGCCCTGGGGGCACAAGTAAAGGCTACGGGTGCCCCAGTGATCTTCTCCTTTGTCTTTTCAGTCAGAGATCGCGGTGCAGGCAGCAGTCGATGCATCGTGCAGGTCAATACCTGGCTTCATGCCTGGTGTTGTCACTAGGGCTTTGGTTTCTACAATCATGGAATGGCCTTCATGAATACAGCCTACTGAGGAGAGGTAGGATCCACCTCTCAAGAAGAGGCAGGAGAATCTTCGCTAGCAGATTGCCTGACAGTGCACTGTGCTTGCACTAATGAACTTGGGGGGGTAGTATCCAAAGCTGTGACAAGTGCAACGTCCTGCACCTGGGACGACATAACCAAAGAGCCCAGCACAGGCCAGGATCTCTGTATGGCTGGGGAGCAACTTTGCTGAAAGGGACCTGGGGGTCCTGGTGGACAACAAGCTGAACAGGAGTCAGCAGTGCACTGCTGCAGCAGCAAAGGCAAATCGGATCCTGGGCTGCATCTGCAGGGGCATTGCTAGCAGAGACAGAGATGTGGTCATCCCACTCTACACAGCCCTTGTCAGGCTGCACCTGGAGTCCTGTGTCCAGTTCTGGTCCCCAGAGTTCAAGACAGACAGAGACAGACACTGGAGAGGCCAAAGGAGGGCCACGGAGACAATCAAGGGGCTGGAGAACCTGCTTGATGAGGAAGGAAAGACTGAAGGAGTTAGGTCTTTTTCTTGCTGGAGAAGAGAAGGCTCAGGGGGATCCCATCACAGTATTCTGGTCCCTAAAGGGTGGCTACAAAGAGGACAGAGGCTGTCTTTTTTCACACGGAGACACATGGAGAAGGCAAGGGGCAATTGGGTACAAGTTGCACCGGGAGAGGTTTCATTGCAATATAAGAAAGAAACTTTTTACAGTGAGAACAATCAATTCACTGGAACAGCCTCCCCAGGGACGTGGTGGAGTCCACATCATTGGAGCTTTCCAAGATGCAGTTGGACAGGGTGCTAGATGATCTTACCTAGGCTCCCTTTCCCATGAAAGGCTGGAACAGAGGATCTGACGAGGTCCCTTTCAACCTGGGCTGTTCTATGATTCTATGATTTATTTGCAGGGAGGGGGAAAAAAGAAAAAATATATATGCATTTATATCATCTTCTCATTCCCTCAGGAAAACATGACTAGTCCCTACCACCACCAAAAAGACATTGCCACTTCTAGAGATCTCACTAGCTGTCTCTAGTTTCCTTTCCAGAAGATCTAGCTACCCCATGTAAAGATGCCAGGGCAATGCTACAGAATTGCTTCCTTGGGGAAAAAGTTTTTGAAAGGCAAGGTAGCTCTAGCCCTTGTTCTTGTGGGAGACTTCAACTTACCAGATATCTGCTGGAAATACAACACAGCAGGAGAAAGCAGTCTCGGAGGTTCCTGGAGTGTGTGGGAAATAACTTCCTGACGCAGCTGGTAAGCGAGCCAACCAGGGGAGGTGCCCCGCTGGACCTGCTGTTTACGAACAGAGAGGGCCTGGTGGGCGATGTGGTGGTCGGAGGCTGTGTTGGGCTCAGCGACCATGAAATGATAGAGTTTTCAATTCTTGGAGAAGTAAGGAAAGGGGTCAGCAAAACCGCTACCCTGAACTTTAGAAGGGCAGACTTTGGATTGTTTAGGAGTCTGGTTAACAGAGTCCCTTGGGAGGCAGTCCTGAAGGGC